GGCGAGTTGAGGAAAAATCTGGATATTGTATACACACTATGTATTTTGCTTTGTTTGTGCATTATGCAAAGCAAGTATGCAGTACTTGAAGTAGCAGGCCTAGAAAAGTGTTTTATTCTATATTCTACAATACATACATGATATGCACAATAACTCGGGACCTGGAAACAAGTTGCATTTGACAAACAAGTCAAAAGATTCACGCAATATATCACTATAATATGTCGTTGCTTCGTTCTTAACAAACGATGCAATATATCAATATTGAATATTTGTTGTTGCTTGTCAAAAATTAAGGAACGACGCAATGTATCAATATCAGTATATTGTTGCTTGTCAAAACATTCACGCAATATATCAATATAATATGTCCTTGCTTCGTTCTTAAGAAACGACGCATTATATCAATATAATATTTGTTGTTGCTTGTCAAAAGATTCACGCAATATATCAATATAATATGTCGTTGCTTCGTTCTTAAGAAACGACGCATTTATATATCAATATAATATTTGTTGTTGCTTTTCAAAAGATTCACGCAATATATCAATATAATATGTCGTTGCAGTGCTTCGTTCTTAAGAAACGACGCAATATATCAATATAATATTTGTTGTTGCTTATCAAAAGATTCACGCAATATATCAATATAATATGTCGTTGCTTCGTTCTTATAAGAAACGACGCAATGTATCAAAATAATATGTTGTTGCTTCGTTAGTTAAGAAACGACGCAATATATCTGCATGCAATATCAGTATATTGTTGCTTGTCAAAAAATCCACGCAATATATCAATGTAATATGTCGTTGCTTCGTTCTTAAGAAAGTCGCGCCTGTCATAACCAGTATATAAGCAGCACAGTGGTGGCAGTCGCTTTATTTTGTTGAACAGCGGTTTTGAGGATCAATTATATTTTTCTGCGTGTATATATACATAACATTATATATATATATATATATATATATATATATATATATATATATATATATATATATATATATATATATAGTACAATCTGCAGACATGCATGTTTCGGCGTCCTACGCCTCATCAGTGCAGCTTGGTACACATCTAGACACGCAATGACCTTCGTATTGATATACATGACACTTGCTCTCCCAAGCGCATGTGGTACAACACGAGCCATCGACGCATCCAGACATGCGCAGAGTGACATGGGGCCAGAGTGCTCAAACAACCACGAGGGAAATGAGCTTTGCATTATTGCTAATGGACACCCAATTAACTCCACAGAGTGCTCTACAACACCGAAGTGAAGGAGCGTAATAGTACAATCTGCAGACATGCATGTTTCGGCGTCCTACGCCTCATCAGTGCAGCTTGGTACACATCTAGACACGCAATGACCTTCGTATTGATATACATGACACTTGCACTCCCAAGCGCATGTGGTAGAACACGAGCCATTGACGCATCCACACATGCGCAGAGTGACATGGGGCCAGAGTGCTCAAACAACCACGAGGGAAATGAGCTTTGCATTATTGCTAATGGACACCCAATTAACTCCACAGAATGCTCTAACAACACCGAAGTGAAGGAGCGTAATTGTACAATCTGCAGACATGCATGTTTCGGCGTCCTACACCTCATCAGTGCAGCTTGGTACACATCTAGACACGCAATGACCTTCGTATTGATATACATGACACTTGCTCTCCCAA